GCCTCAAGACCCGGCTTTACCACTGAAGAGCGCCTAGCAACCTCCAAGCTTGTCATGGATTGGTTTATGTGGCTTAAATCTTGTAATGAAGATGGGATATGTACTAGTGAACAATGTAAAATGGATTCCATATTGGTTCTCTGTATAAATGATTTCTGGATGCTGACAGTGTACTTCCAGAGGGATATAGGAATGTTTTCTTGTAGGCCTGAGGAGGACATTCCTAGATACGAAGACTGGGCATTTGTTATGGCGGAGCTGCAGATGTGCTAAGGAAAACAACACCTGTTTCCCATGAGAAGAGAAGAAAGAAGATAAGGAGGGACTGTTTACCTGACTTTGTGCCTTGATTGGATGACAGCGTGAGAGACAGAGAAGAAGGGGGGGTTCCAGCTAAGCTTGAAAAAGGAACTCTTACTATGGACAATATCCTGATTTTTCTTTCATTCATTCTTTAACCTTTTTGGACTACAGTTTTTCTAGGTCTTGTTGCCTGCTGGGCAGTGCAGGTAACGGACAGATAGAGATGCAGGGTGATTAGGGAGAAAGGGGGGCTTTATGCCTTTTGCCCACCCTAATAGAGCTTTTTAGAGATTTTCTAGGATTTTTTAGTGTTTTTATATTTAAAGAGAATTTTTGCTTCATTTCTATTTTGTATCAAGCCTTGAAAATGATAACATGCTTGTTTATGCATTAAAATGAATTTATTTTGTGAATCTTTATTTTTTTTAATAAAATAATAATTATAAAAATCAATTGGTCTCTTGAACAGTATAGCTGTCTTAGTATTACCCTGAGGGGGAATTTGGGCCACATTTAGCTACTGAGTCCTACCCAGATTGAGCAAAATGGGTCTACTGACTACAAAGCTTATGTGTTTTTCTTTTTTTGGAATTTTCTACAGTTGCTGAATTATCTTTTTAGGGCAGACTTGTAAGCAGAAGTTTTGGGGCAGCCCTTGGCTGAGGTCACCAGGGCTCAACCCAGCTGTATAAGGGGCACAAGCTTCTAATTACTCTCTGTCCAACTGGTCAAGCATCTCTTAGGAGAGCTGATCGTTGACAAAGCTCAAATCAGCTTTCAGCATACAGTGGTACCTCGCAAGACGAAGATATTTTCATCTTGTGAGGAACGTTTTCCCATAGGAATGCATTGAAATTTAATTAATGCGTTCATATGGGCAAAAAAAAATCTGAAAAAGTCACCAAGTAGGGAGCTGGGGAAAGACCATCGGAAGACTGGCGGGGGTCCTCTGCAGCCGCGCTCGCCACTTTCAGAGGTCCCCCGGCAGTCCTCCAATGGTGCTGGGCAAGCCTTCCCCAGCACTATTTTTGAATTTCCCGCCCTTTTCCCCTGCCTTTTTCTGTCCGGAGGCTGGCCGAGCACCATCGGAAGATGAAAATTTCACAAGACAGGTCGCGCGGAACGAATTATTTTCATCTTGCAAGGCACCACTGTACTCAAATCACTCCCAGGTGAACAAGATAATATTTGCATGAAAGTATTCTTTGCACTAATTCCTATTTTTAAAATTCTAATTAGTCCATAAGCCAGCTAGCTCCCTCTGTTTTCCCCAGTATTCTGTCCTATTCCCAAGGTAGAAATCAGAAAGAAAGAAAAAAATCCAAACTCTAGGTTAGGTTATCTTTATATGTTGTACTATCCAGGTTAGGTTATCTTTATATGTTGTACTATTCCCATGAAGAACAATGAAAAACCTGAACAATATTTGGTGTGGAAACTTCATTTGTAATCTCTCCACTTGCTTTCTTGTAAGAGATTCTCTCCATCAAACATCACCCCCAAAATGCCCTCACAATCCCAGGGTCCTAATTCATCCCAGGATCCAGAACCCCATTTGTAACCCCTTCCCAAATTCTTTCACTCATTAATATATATTTGTACATCCCTTGTTAGAAAGAAACACATACTGTACTATCTCCTTAGTGTTTCAAGCTTGAATTAGTCAGTATTTGACTATGTTGTATATGTTTTCTAGTTTCTAGTAGATCACTGATTTTTAAAATGAATAGTGGTTTTTTTAAATCTACACACACGTGCTCTGGAAGTATTCCAGTTTCCTCAGGTATATTTTAAATTTGCCTTGGTTCTTAGCAAATAATTGCTTTTGAGAGCTTTAACTGAAGTCTTTGATGTTTAACATTTGGCGTATCAGATTTTATTCCACATTTCAACATCAAAAAGAGCCCGAAAAATCCAAAACAACCATCAAAAAGATCGTTTATGCATATGTTCAGGTTACATGTATCTGATGTGCCATCAAAAATATCAATTACAATATACTTCCTGTTTTACCAGGTTTTAGGTAAATGATTTTCCATAAACAAACATCTCAAATACTTTTGAAACCATTATATTAATAACAAAAACATCAACAGAAGTGTACAAGGGGAGTGAGGAGAGAGACATAGAAAAAGAAGGTAACATCACAGCATTTAGGCCCAACTGAAACTTTGACCAACGCTCTTAAGGAGACAGAGTACCTGCAAGCTCAAACAAGATTTTTCACTCCTAAATTTAAACCAGTGAACAGCTGAACACTGAAAGTCATCCATTGATACTGGAACTTTTCTGAAAAGATATCCAACAAACAACTCCTTGGTCTCTCTCATATGTTCATTTTCCGCAAGCTAAGGGGAAAACATCCCCCAGACCCGGCTAAGCGTGCAGAGGCTCCCAGGGCTACTGTAGGGTTGCAAGGGACACAAAATGCTGGAGACCTCTGAAGCTCAGCAGTGAACACCAAGGCATTGGGACCAACAGTTCGTTGAGCTGAGTCACGGCTAGAATTATACAAGGCGACAGCTTGGGTCCTAGAAGCATCATCCACTTTCTCTGAATGAACTTTTCCTGCATGGTGATAAGAAAGAAGTCAGTTCTGTATTTTGACAAACCATATTGGCTGTTTCACGCTTTTCTACTACAAATAGGAGTACCACCTTCTCATTGCTTCTCTTTACATCTCAGTGATAATATATGTAGATACGTTAGGGGCAAGTCATAGGATCACAGCTACATAGGAATGACAAAATATATACAGTACTTAAATTTGAGCTGAACACAATTCTCACATGAAGAAGACAATATTCATGCTGTGGTGAGAGAGGAGCCACATAATTTGCTCACTGCTTTGTTTACACGAACCCCATACACCCCTAAGAAATTCCAAATGGAGCTTTGGAATTGATCCATGTGAAAGTGGCTCCTACAATAAAAGGGAGCTAAAAAGCATTAGTTAGGCTTATGCATGGCAGAATACAGCCATACACATAATAACAAGTTTCCCTTGCCCACCAAGCCTCCTTGTGTAGCTCCTATAATCCCCCACTCCCAGAAAAAAGGGACCTGGGGTGTAGCCCCCGCATCTCTCAATGTTCCAAAAACACTACCCCACCAACAGGAAAAAAGAAAGGAACTTTTCACTCCTTTCAGTTTGGGAGGAAAGGGTTAGGGTGTAGCCTGCGGAAGTCAGAGAAGAAATGGGTCAAGGCAGTCCCTAGAGCCTCTACAATTACAAGCCCCTGAGAAGGTGTCCTTGTCCCCTGTTGGAACAACCTAACTACAACTTCATACAGTAAGGGACTACAGATCATGTTTCACCACTCAGATTTGAAGTGCGATGGAACAGAAGAATTGTCATGTATAGTCTAATGGTACTGAAGTAAAAAGGGTCTGAGATTATTACTTCAAGAATTCCTATAAGCAACATTATACACCTAAGTACATGTGCTGTCAACCCACATCCCCAAGTACCATATAACGCAGATGCTGATTGAGGAAACTGGGAACTGTCAGTGTTCACATCCAAATCCATTTTGCTCAGCTCAACTGATTTCTCTGAATGCTCAATGGAGACATAAAACTCTTCTGCTGCTTGTGACAAAGAATGAGACATCGCTCCAAGAGTGTCTTGTCTCTACAGACAAAAGAACAAGGCAGAAATCTGGTTTTAGGCATGAGGAAATCCATATAACCTATACTGTTGTAACCCAAAGAAAGTTATATGGACTTACTTGGCAAGGTTATCTACAACATACACACCATAGTTTGTAGCACAACAAACGTACAGTGAACTCACACTGAAAACAGTCAGTTTACCCCCAGCTCCCCAGCATGTGCTCACTGTCTCCTTGTAAGTGTATGACTATTTCATATTTTATGCTCTGTACTGCATGTTCAATAGCAACTGGAAAGGAAAACATTCTTGATCCATTTTTATTTCTTTGACCTATTTTTTGGTCCAAAACAGGACCCTCAAAAAAAAAAAAACCCCTACAACTAAGGGCAGAACAAGAAAAAGCCAATTTGCTTCACATTATTATTAATGTGAAGAGAACAGAATGTGGTTTGAACAGAATATTTAGGAAATACTCTTATGGTTCAAAGGGCGCATTGACTCAGATGAAATAATCGATGAAGTGGAAAAACTGAACATTTGGGTATAAAATGTTCATAGAGCAGTAACTCTACTAAAGCTTTGTTCACCTGAAACAGGCAGGACTGGGATGGTGGGGTTGGGGAGGGGAGTCGAGTCCTCTCCCATGGAGTAAGATCCAGCACCAAGTCTCTCCCCTCCCCCTGGCTTTGAACAAGCAATTTATTCCTACACTAACCTCTACCACTGAAAGAAATTAAGAGTGTGAGGAAATGCATGTGGAGTGGTCCAATGTGATCTGTCTTCCAGTGACCACACCACATACATAGAATTGCACTCCCACCTGACCTTGATCTGTGCCCAAGGTCCAGCTGTAGGGTTACTACTTCTGGAGCCAGGCTGGAGCAATCCCCCAATAGATGAAAGAGGTACAGTGGTGCCTTGCATAGCGATGTTAATCCGTGCAGCAAAAATCGCTGTTAAGCAATTACGTTGCTATGTGATTTAAAAAAGCCCATAGAAACGCATAAAAACCTGTTTAATGAGTTCCTATGGGCTTCAAACACTCCTTAAAGCGAAGATCCTCCATACGGCGGCCATTTTCGCTGCCTCTTAAGCGAGGAATCCATCCCTACACACAGCGGGCGGCCATTTTTTTACCCGGCAGCCATTTTAGAACCGCCGATCAGCTGTTAAAAAATAATCGCTTTGCAATGATCGGTAAGCGAAACAGGGAACCGATCATCACAAAGCGAAAAAACCCCATTTAAAACATTGCAATGCGATCGCTTTTGCGATCGCAAAAACCTAATCGCTATGTGGTTTCGTCGCTAAACGGAGCACCCATTAAGCAAGGCACCACTGTACTTGAAGAGAGTCAATTCCCTGCAAAGCAACTCTTTCCAGTGTGATCAGACAGTCATGCTTTCCATCTTTTGATCACACTCTAAGAGGGAAAGGATAAAGATGGGAGAGTAACAAGGTTTTGCACAGGAACACAGAAGCCAGAAGGCACACACAGATAATTAGCTTAGCAAAGTGAGAGAACATGGAACAGATCTGTAGGGTCCATGAAGGTATGCTGATTTCAGATAATTAGCTTAGCAAAGTGAGAGAACAGATGCCAGAACATGGAACAGATCTGTAGGGTCCATGAAGGTATGCTGATTTCACCAACCAATGCTGGCTTTCTCACAAACACAAAAATGTGCTTATAGTACTAAGGTCCCCTTACAAGGTAAGCCAACTCAAACAAATTTATTTACCTCAGTTCCTTCAAAGGAGTTCTGGATTTTGCCTTGAGGTTCTGGATGAGGACTTTTCTTCTTCTCAATGGTACTGGAAATATCCACATTCTGCCAAGCATAAGTTAAATATATAGTTGGAAATACAAATCTCCAAAATAGTAAAGAATAAAAAGGGCAGTTAATCCAATCATAGTGCAACGTATTTATTCACATAGCCAAAAAATGGTAAGTAGAGGGCGATTTGAATCAAAGAGGAGAGGGAACTTGAGTTTTTCCTCCTCCATCTCAATTTTTAACAGATCACAAGGATGCAGACAAAACTGTGGCTTGACAGCCATGAAGAACCAGAGAGAAAAAAAGTTATTCCAGGTGAGATATGAGTATTCTTGGTAGAAGGATCAACTAGTGTGGGACTGGAGATACAACAGCCCATCTTGGATGACTGTTCACTTTCCCAGAAAAGTCAAGTTTGCACGATGGTGGATAATCTTGGACCCAAGACAGTTTTCAAAGGGATAGGTGGGAACACTGCAGCCCTACAGATTTTGCTGGATAGTAACCCCCATCAGCCAGACCAGCACAGTCCTTGGCAAGGGCAACTACTGGAAATGGCAGAACAACATTTGGTAATCTGTATTTTTGCCAGTGGAACTATGAAAGGCATTTACAGTTTTGGCTACTGAGCCACCTGCGTTTCTTTCTGGAGAAGTCAAATATCACCAAGCTGTTCCTACCCTTGTTACTGCCATGCTTCCCTCCTATAATGTACTTTAGGACAGTGGTTCTTAACCTTTGTTACTCAGATGCTTTTGAACTGCAACTCCCAGAAATCCCAGTCAGGACAGCTGGTGGTGAAGGCTTCTGGGAGTTGCAGTCCAAAACTCCTGAGTAACCCAAAGTTAAGAACCAGTGCTTTAGGAGACTGCCCTTAAAAATGGGTCTTGGATGCTCTCCAACTAGCATGAAATACCTCTGCATAAGTGAAACATTATCATTCTGGCACTAATTTTGGATGTAATTGTCGCCTATTTCTGAACTCAGATCAAGGCTCTGGCTCAAAACGATCATGTCCAGCTACCTGATGACTCCCTTCTTTGCTTGTCCAGTTTCTCCAATATTTGATGTCCTGCTCTAGAAACTTCCATAATTGAAATTTAGTGGAAGTTCACCAAAGGGCTATTCCAATGCCCTTCCCAGACAGAGGTGCTTCCAAGCCTTAATACTGTATTGCTTCCAGGTGGTAAGTGAAGACTGGCTTGTTCAACTGGGATGTGACACCAGCTGTAGTTGGCTGGCACATTTTTGGCATTAATTCTTTGCTGATGATTTGTGTTAACTTTTTCTGATTCATTATTTTGGGAAGATGTTTCTTAGGTTTGCTGCTTTTATTATTTTCTATTTTCTACTTCTTTAAGGTATACCTTGGCCGTTTACAATTTCTACATAAAGAAAAGCAGAGCATTTAAAATATAAATCTGTTTGGATAATAGAAACGATAAATATAGATAAGTGATGATGACCACTTGCCCATGCCCATTCTTTGAACAGCAAATACCCACCCTCTTTTGTACCACTTCTTGGCTGTGTTTAGCTTCATCCTTGTTTCCTTCACCATTTGGAGGTTGGTGGTGAACTACTTCAATGTCAAGTCCCAACTTATCTCCAGTCTCATCATTTTTCTTTTGTTTGTAATAATTGGAAAGTATCCAGTCCTCATCCCAAATGTCACTGCAGAAATCCACTGGCTCCAGGTATGGCATCTCAGCATCTGAACACAGGCTTGCTTCATCCTAGAAAACGATATAGCCAAACTTCAAGAAGCAATCATTTTTAATTAACATGATTTGTTTTTTTAAATTCATTCACTGGAATCTCATCCACAAGATTTACCAGACGTAAATCACCAACGTTTACTACCCATGTTGTTTAGACACACACATCATCTTAACAACACAAGTCAGCAGATTTCTGCTAGGCTGAAATGCTACTTAAATAATTATCTTTTTTTTAAAAACCACACAGAAGGAGTTTGACAAGGACTCAGAACTTAACTGGAATGATATTTGGAGCTTAGGTGATCCCAGCCATCATACTGTATTAATTTCTAATGTTCTCAGAAACCTCTGATACTTCACGCACATATACAGTATCCCTCTTTATTTTCTTTTGAAGATATCAATAAAAATATTGAATAGCTGCTGCCGTTTTATTTTAAATAATCATTGACTCAAGTGCAATGATATAAAGTCACTTACACCCCAAAACTGGGAAAAAACTTTTTAATTAGCTACAATTTGCCACTGCCAGTGATATCACTCTCATTACACAGGTGAAGCTATGTAACAGGAAAATGGAGACAGGCCATTATGAGGAAAATGTTCATGAAACATTACAAGGTCAATTCTTCCACCATCACTGTCTTATTTTTGTTGATCTATAAATTTCTCTATGAACTTTCTGGCAAAGGAGGAGCAAAAATGAAAGAATGAAAATGAATAGCTTCAAATACACATAAATCTTTCTTTTCACTAAATGAGTTATGCTGACATGACCTTACCTATAGTGCTCAATTGTGACCACTCTAGGCGGCTTAGACATGACCTTACCTATAGTATTGCAGATGACTTAGCCATGTAGTGAAGACCTTTCATGGGTAACAAAATGTACCCTTCAAAAAAGGTTATAAACAAGCTGCCCACTAATACTGCATAAATTCTGATTCCACCCTACAAGAGGAGGTTTCTAGATCAGTGGTTCCCAACATTTAGTAACCCAGGTATTCTTGAACTCCCAATTCCCAGAAGCCTTTAACACCAGTGTGGGCCACGGTTTCTGGGGGTTGCAGTTCAACTGGTTACCCAAGGATGAGAACCCTGCTTTAGATCGACTGATTGATTGATTGACTGATTGATCGATCTAATATTGACCCTTCAGGAATTTTGAATAATGTTGTATCTACAACTGCACACCTTGTTAACACAATTTTTGGTCTCTTTAAAATATGTAAACTTTAAATATTATTATTATCAAAAAAATTACCGCTTCCTGCACCTTAGCTTCTAATATCTGTTCATTTTGTCCTGAGCTTGAATTTTCATGACAGTCTTTCAAGAGGCATTTTTCTTGGAAGTCCAATGCATGATGAGAAGAATCAGTAAAGCAGTTGTCTCCCTGGTTTAATTGTTCAGGTTCCAAACATGCTAAATCATCACTTTTATCAAATCTCTAGAAAAAGCAAATTCCTGTCAGTCTTCCTGCATTTAGCAATCTGCATCTACTGAACACATATTTTTTAAAAGCAAAGTCCATATGTACCAAAATATTCTCATGATGACAATGGCAGGGCTTCAGATTTTGAACAAACTACTTTCAGCAGCTCAAAATAACCCTAGACTTGACCCCCACCCCCTGGACTAGCAACATGTCTTATTTGCATCGTAAACCATTTTTGAAAATCCCCCTCAGTTTCAAAGGCAGTTTGTTTGTCATGCTATGGAGGCAGGGAAGAAACATTGCAAGCTTCTTATGTGATCCTAAGTAGCAAGCAGCATTAAAATAAAATCAAGATAGCCAACAGCCCCCAGCCTATGATGCAAGACAGAGAAAAGTCAAACACACCTGGAGTTTTACATCACTCTTTTAAGAAGGCTAATTTGTGGATTTGAAGTCATGCATACCAAGCTGTCAAATCCCTCACTTACCAGCAGAGGATCTACCTATCTGGGATTATCACTTCTGTTAATTCCAAAAGTTCTATCAGAATATAAATTTTGTAACATTTCTCCAGTCGTACACTTCACCCTGTACTAGACTTCAACAATCAAGGACTAGAGTCAGACATTAACAACTTGGCAGCTACTTTAAGCATCAATGGGAAGACCACTCTCTAGGTAGCATGGGAAGTGCACGACTCCTGAATTCTTCTCCTGTGTCACAGGCCGGCTGCCACAGAACTAGCAGAGATAAGGCACTTGCCACCTCATTTATCACATTTTCTAGAGCAGAAACTGACAATCACATGAACCCCACCGTGATTAAAAGAAAAAGCTCACTTTTACTGAAAAAAGGCATTTATATTTAGAGGTATTCTTTTGTAATGTTCGAATTTACAGCAGGTTGGTAGGCAAGGAAACAGGCCATCAGGAGAAATACTGAACATCCAAGGTTACTACTGGCCTGTCAAAGGGCCTCAGCTGACTAGCCTGTGGAGATGGTGCAGAAGAGAGGTTACTTACCTGTAACTGGTTCTTCTAGTGGTTATCTGTGAATTCACACAAATGGGTCTTAGTGCGCTTGTGCAGAGAGCCTTCTCTCGTGCTTGGCCCCATCCACAGTACAGAGTGGCTCAGTTCTGAAGAACAGTCCACCACTGCCCAGCATGCAAGAAGCATACGTGATGGACAGAGGGGATGATGGGTGGGAAATGTGAATTTATTTATTTATTTATTTTATTTATTCAATTTATGCTCCGCCCATCTAGCCCACGTCTACTCTGCGTCACTGATGACCACTTGAAGAACCAGAGTTACAGGTAAATAACCTCTCTTTCTTCTTCATGGTCTTTGTGAATGCACACAACTGGGTGACTAGCAGGAGGTAATAATAAAGCATCACAATAAAGAAGGTTAGAACAGCACGACCAATGAGGCATCAACCTTGGCATGGACATCCAGCCAAAAGTGGCTTGCAAAGGTGGATGGCGTAGCCCAGGTGACTGCTTTGCAAATGTCCGTCAGTTCAGCCCCTCTGAGAAATTCAGTGGATGTTGCTACGGCTCTGGCAGAATGAGCCCTTACAGTGTGTGGTAAGGGTGCCTGGGCAAGTTCATACGCCAGACGAATCCTGGAAACAATCCAATTTAGAGATTGTCTGAGAAGTGACCAAGGAACCTCTAGAATGACCATGCCAGCTGATGAACAGCTTCTTAGACTTCCTAAAAGTAGCAATGAGTGAAACATAATATGGGCACGACATACATCTAAAGAATGCAATGAACATTCTAGATCGGAAGCAGGCAAAGGAAAGAACGTAGGTAGGACAACAGGCTGTCTCAAATTAAAATCAGAAACCACCTTAGGCAAAAATCAGAGGTCAGGGTAAAGTGTGACCTTGTTGGAGTGAAACTGGAGAAAAGGTGGATCGACTCAAAGCACAGAGAACTCACTAGCTCTACAAGCTAAGGTAACTGCAACAAGGAAGACAGTCTTTCAGGTCAGGAGTCTCTCTGATATAGATGCCAGTGGTTTGAATGGGGATCACATCAGGTGACTGAGCACCAGCTAGAGTGACCACTGAGGAATAGGTGGCTTCCATAAGGGCGCATGTTTTTCAGGCCACACAGAAATTGTTTAAGCATGGGGTGATGAAACAATGATGCAGACTCTGAACCCTGAGGCTGATGGGCTACTACTGTTGCAATCTAAACCTTTAATGTAGAGTGAGAAAGGCCATGTTGAAAAAGGTGATGGAGGAACTGAAGGACAGCATCCAGTGACATAGGGAGTTATGGGATGACACGAATGTAGAGAAAGTGTTCCATTTATAGCCATATAATGATGTTGTGGAGGGCTTACGAGCATGGCTCAGGACCTCTGCTACTATGGCTGCACCCTCCATGTACTCAGATGTAAGGTGTGAAAGTCCAGATGGAATGCCTTGCCCTGGTTGAAGGTCAGCAGATGAGGAAACTGTGGAAGGCAGAAGAAGTCAATGGCTATGAACCAGAGGGTTGTGAACCATGGTTGGCGAGACCACAATGGGGTGATCAAAACTGCATCTGAATTGTTCTGCTGAAGTTTGGTTATTGCCCTTCGAAGCAGAGGAATGGGTGGGAAAAGATATAGGAGTCTAATCAATCATGAATGCATCTCCTATCGATCGGAGTCCAATCCCTGCCCTTGAGCAGTACAGACTGCATTTTCTGTTGATAGGCAAACATGTCCACGTGGGACGCCCCAACAATGGCACAGGAGGTGGAATATGTTTCTGTCGAGCGACCACTCATGACTGCATGAATGTAGTCTACTGAGATGGTACGTGAGCATATTGTCCTCCATCAAGATGTGTACTGCTACAGGGTAGATGTGACAGGTGTAGCACCACTCCCTCAGTGGTATAGCAGTGAGAGTGTGCATGTCCCTCCTTGTTTGTTTATGCAGAAGAGAGCTGTTGTGTTGTCGGTAGTGGCCTGCATTGTTTGTCCTGTGATGAGATTTTCGAAGGCTCGGAATGCCTTGATCATGGCAAGAAGCTCTAAATGGTTGGTGTGCAGCTTCACTTCTGAAGAGGACCACAAATGTTGTTGCAGTGGGCTCTCCAGCCCGTGGGGCTGGCATCTGTGGTGACTTAAACGGACAGACAGAGGGGTCTGAATGATCTGCCAATACTGAGATTGTGGGTATTGCTCCACAATGTCAGTTGGGATGCCAGCTCTTCCGATACTGTAAGAACTTTGGTTGGAAGATGGACCAAAGAATCAAAGTATGTGAGGTACCATGCTTGGAGCAACACGACCAGATAGGCGGGAAAATAAATAAATAAATAAATAAATAAATAAATAAATAAATAAACAAACAAACAAACAAACAAACAAACAAACAAACAAACAAATAAATTTTGAGATTAACATGTTGGATGACTGCCACTGTAGAGCTATGTGATGCTAAGTAAGATGGGCAGTGATGTGTGCACCTGGAGCGAGAGAAAACTTGCCTGCCTGTCTCTTGATAGGAAAGCACGGCATTGAGTAGTCAAGAACTGCTCCTATATAGGTGACTTGCTGAGATGGTTGGAGAATAGATTTAGTGAAATTGACCAGGAGCCCCAAGTCTGATAGAAGGGACACAGTGTGTTCGACATCTTGTTCTGCTTTGGCACGGGATGGAGATACCAGAAGCCAGTTGTCCAAATATGGAAAGACAGTGATGCCTTGAAAGTGGAGATATGCGACTACAGGTGCCAGGCATTTTATAAATATTCGTGGCACTGTTCGCAAGCCGAATGGAAGGGTTTTGAACTCGTATACTGACCCTCAGAAGGAAAAACCTGACAAATCTCTGATGGTCCAGACATATATTTATATGAAAGTAGGCATCCTTTAAATCTATGACAGTGAACCAATCGCCATGTGGGAGTAACTAGATAGTGCTATCTAAGGTGACCATACAGAAATGCCTTGGGATGATGCAAGAGGTGAGGTGGCGGAGATCTAAGATGGGACGAAGACCGCCATCTTTTTTTGTGACTGCAAAGTATCAGGAATAGAACATAAGGGCAATGTCTGCGTGATGAACTAGTAAGATGGCATCCTTTTCCAGTACAGAGCATATCTCCTCCTCCAATGCAGAAGAGGGGGTGGTAGTTTTGAAGATCTCAGCTGGTGGGAGGGTGTCAAATTCGATGGCATAGTCTGTGGCAATGATCATAAGAACCCAGGCGTCCAAGGTGATGCATTGCCAAGTTTGGAAAAATGGTGCTAGCAGAGTCATGTAAATGTCTGGTATTGATGTATGGAAGAAGTCAAAGATTCTGCTGTGGGCGCTGCCTCGCAGTTTGCTGATGGAAGGAGACAGAAGGCATGCTGGAGGCTTGAGGCCATTGGCGATCCAGAGGAAGCCTTCATTGCTGGTAAGTATAGGGGCGATGCCTGGTGTTACATAGCTGGTATTGTTGGGAGTTATTATGATCATGCCATCCTTCATAATTTCAACAGGTTATCCAGAATTTCATCAGTCTTCTCATCAAAGAGCCCTAGACATAAAAGGAACAACAGGGAAGTTTGGCCTTGGAGTTCAGAACAAAGCAGGGCAAAGGCTAATAGAGTTTTGTCAAGATAACAAGCTGGTCATCACAAACACTCTTTTCCAACAACACAAGAGGAGACTCTACAAATGGAAATCACCAGATGGGCAATATTTAAATCAGATTTATTATATTCTCCGCAGCCAAAGATGGAGAAGCTCTATATAGTCAGCAAAAACAAGACCTGGAGCTGACTGATCATCAGCTTCTCATAGCCAAATTCAAGCTTAAAATGAAGAGAGTAGGAAAAACCACTGGGCTACTCAGGTATAATCTAAACCAAATCCCTTATGAATACAATAAAGAATAGATCTAAGGCACTCGATTTGGTGGACAGAGTGCCTGAAGAACTTTGGATAGAGGGTCGTAACATTGTCCAGGAGGCAGCAACAAAAACCATCCCAAAGAAATGGAAATGCAAGAAA